AAATATTTATTTTTTATAGTATTTTTTTAAAAAACAAAGTTTCACTCTGTTGCCCTGGGTAGAGTGCCATGGCATCATTAGCTCATAGCAATGTCGAACTCTTGAGTTCAAGTGATCCTCTTACCTCAACCTCCTGAGTACCTGGAGGCATCCACCATGACACCTGGCTATGAAAAGTATGCTTGTTATTTGTTGTACTTGCTATGCCAAAAAGATGCTTTTATGTCAGTAGGTGGGAGTTGGAGGTATTGATCCCTGGATATGAGCACTACAGTAAAAGGTAGGGGAGGTAGCTAGGTAGATACCTAGGAGGTATCTCCAGGTCACAGGAGTTAGTTGGGTAGTTGTATCAACCTTTGAGAAAAACATGACTTTTCTCTGGGCTGCCAGGAAAGGAAAAAATGTGGTTTGAATTCAGTAAACGCTAGAATTTGGGGGGCATGTTTACTATAACTAAGACAAGGGAAGGGAGAAAATAGACAAAAGGACAGAAAAAAAGGGATGAGAGAGAGCCGCAAGAGGGAATTTGGCAAAGTTTAAAAAGAGACTAGAAAAGGAAAAACAAAGTCATTCCCCAAATGTCTCCTATTTCAGGCTTTGTAATCATGTCTTATTTCTTTCACATCCCTTGAGGTCCCTTGAAGAAGAGCTGTTCTTTTTAATATAGTTTATGTGAATGCCTGGTCAATGTCAACTCATTATTAGTAATACTATTGTTTGCAAGAAATGATTACGGGACATTTTGGTTTGGGTTTGTTATTACGTATAATAATTCATGTTTTTACGAATTGTATGCCTCACTCAAATCCCTCAGATGTGGGATTTCTGAGGAAATGACTTTTAGACTGAAAACTGAAGGATAAGTAATACTTAGTTCTGAGAAGAATGAGTGAAGGATAGCCCAGGCAGAGGAAATGACATGTTTATAGCCCTGAGTTCATTGTGGAGTTCATCAAAGCAGGCTCATGTGGCAGATCTTAAGAATCTAGGCAGGCAAAGCTCAGTAAAAAAGAGCCTTCCCTTTTTTCTCATGCCCTTATAGTTTACATTAATTGCTAAGTGATCAAGGCCAAACTCTGTCCCCGGTAAGGATGAAGAGATTCAGGAAGAGAAAACTCAAACTTAAGGATCCAGCATATTTTACCTTTATTCAGTATGTACTCATAGGTAGAGTGCTTAAAGTTTAATTGTTTGGATTTTCTTGACACTCTACTATAGTTTTTTATTGTGTGAATTCTTCTGGTGATTTGGTGACCTGCCTAGTTTTTGTGTCCCCTATATCTGTGGTTGGTACTCCTGCTGCCATCATCACCTCTAAGGCAATTTCCCAAGCCAGGCATCTTAGGGCCGCCTTTGACTCCTGTGTCATTTTTGTTTGGTTGGTTTTTCTTTTTCTTTTTTATTTCATTTGTTTATTTAGTTTTATGTTCTTTTGCTGTGTGTAAGAACAATATATTCCCACCTCTGCAGTGTCCCTCTAATGATTTGCCTCTCGTCCATTTTCACGGCCACTGACTATACCAGGCTCTCCTGCTTAGTTCCCTGGCTCCAGCCCCATCCAACTTAATCTGTCCTAAAGTTCCTACCATGTTCATCTTCCTGAAACACTATTTTAATTCTGCCACCTTTTTTTTTTTAGCTTTGATCATTTCTTTGTAAACACATTTCCATAAAGCTGGTTCATCCTTAGGCCTCAGAAAGTATTGTCCTTAAGAGTACTTCAGCCTTTGCTCTTGTTCAATCTTCTTAGTGTACTTCTTTTTCTCCTATTCTCCATTCATGTTTTTGCCATCTTAATCCTATAGTCTTCCAGTGTTTTAGGACCACAGAGAAGGTGATGAGCAGCAGGCAAGCAAAGCTTCATTTGTATTTGCAGCAGTGCCCCATCACTCACATCACCACCTAAGTTCTGCTTCCAATCAGATCAGCAGGGGCATTAGATTCTCACAGGAGTGGGAACCCTACTGTAAATTGTGCATACAAGGGATCTAGGTTGCGCAGTTACGAGAATCTAATTAACACCCAATGATCTGAAGTAAAACTAAGGCAGTGATGCTAGCAATGGCACCATCTAGTTTCAGGAAAACAAACTCAGGGCTCCCACTGATTCTACATTATGATGAATTGTATAATTGTTTCATTACATATTATACGGTAATAGTAATAGAAATAAAATGCATAATAAATGTAATGCACTTGAACTATCCCCAGACCATTCTCCCTTCTCCCAGTTCATGGAAAAATTGTCTTCCATGAAACTAGTCCCTAGCTAGTGCCAAAATGGTTGGGGACTGCTGCTTTAAGGTATTCTTTTATTCATTCATCAATAAATATCAATTGAGTGTTTATTATGTGTCAGACACTGTGTTAGGCACTAAAGATAAACTGAACCAGATGAATATAGTCCTTGTCCTTGTGGCGCCCATACTTTCACAAAGGGATGGTAAAGATTCAACCAAAGGAATATATTAAGCCAGAGTAAGACAGGAAAATTTCCCCACAGCAGATTAAATAAATTCTTAGGACCTTTTCAAGCTGAAAGACAGCATCTGAAATTAGATTGGGAAGCTAGTGGGTCACAAGTTATTCATCACAAGTCTAGACCGGATCATAAAGGGAAATAAGGTTGGAGCTATCAAGACCAATTTATAGAATACTCAGCTAACAAGTTTTAAACACTGTTATAAACAATGATGAGGCATCCACTTTTTCTGATCCCTTCTTAAAATTCAGTATCTAAAGAACTACCAGCTTTCTTGGTACCTAGACTTCTTTGTTAAATTGAAAAAGGTAGATATTGCCTATAAATCTTTATACTCGGTGACTAATGACCTACATTTGCTTCCTAAATCTTTTTTTTTTTTTTTTTGAGACGGAGCCTCAAGCTATCTCCCTGGGTAGAGTGCCATGGCATCACGCTCACAGCAACCTCCAACTCCCGGGCTCAAGCGAGTCTCCTGCCTCAGCCTCCCAAGTAGCTGGGACTACAGGTCCCCGCCACAATGCCTGGCCATTTTTTGGTTGCAGCCATCATTATTGTTTGGCAGGCTAAGGCTGGGGATTCGAACCTGCCACCTTAGGTGTATGTGGCTGGTGCCCTAACCACTTGAGCCACAGGCGCCAAGCCAGCTTCCTAAATCTTAAAGGAAGCAACTTCAAGTGTAAGTTGCTTTTGTAACTTTACACCTTTTTTTTTTCTAATAGTGGGATGAAGAGGCTTTAAAAATGTCAGAAATGAGAAAGTCAAACAGGTTCATTGCCTGCTGCTCAAAGCCAATTACTAGGACAGCAGGGATTACAATGGAGAATGAATTTATTATTGAAGGCACCATGCAAAGAGATGAGAGGAATTTCTCAAAACCGTCATTTCTCAATAACGTTTTTAAAGATAGTTTGGTGGGCAAAGGGCTAATGAATTGGGCCTGCTGATTGGCTGAGTATAAATTCATAGGTTTAAGAAGCAAAAATTGTCTTCTTTGTGCTGAGTCAGATCCCAGGTTGTAAGACCAGTTGAGTTGGTTCCTTAATATGGACCACTAGTCTGGTTGGATCAGTTGGTCCATGCAGTGTCTAGAAGATACCTCAAAGACTAGCCTTAGATTTTACAAGGCTTATATTATCTATAAGAGCAATGAAGAAAGCTAAGAGTCTTCATGACCATCAGCTATATGACTCCTGAGTAGTAAGCAATTATAAGAAAGCAAGCTAGGGCGGTGCCTGTGGCTCAAAGGGTAGGGTGCTGGCCCCATATGCCAAAGGTGGTGGGTTCAAACCCAGCCCTGGCCAAAAACTGAAGAAAGAAAGAAAGAGAGAAATAGAGAAAGAGAGAAGGAAAGAAAGAAAGAAAGGAAAGAAAGAAAGAAAGCTAGGAAACAATAGACAACTAGTTAAAATTGCACACGAACTTTATGGGCATCCTATATATACTTTAACGATGTCCATACCTTTGCAGATTTCGGACTCCTGCCATATTTCCCATCTTATGGCCTTTTATTAACTTTATAAAGGGTGATTTCAAAATCATAAAATTTCATATTCACCTTTTCCCAGGCCAGACCAAACTGGAACCTGTTAAACTTGTTCCCTAGAACAGGTGGGGTCAAAGGAATGAATGACTATCATCTTCTCAGTCCTCTCTGTATCTACTGGCTTCTCTCCATTTTCTAGCATTACCAGTCACATCTAGCCACTCCTCTGAGAGCAATGCCCAGGAAAAGCTTTCCTCTTATGCCTTTTAGTACCCTTTCCTTCCTCTGCCCACATTTCCCAGGTGTTCTGTTTGGTGCTATTTTAATTAACTAATAACTGTTAATATTATAACCCTTCTTAGCTGACATCCCGTAACAACATCGCTTTGCCAACTGAATTACCTAGATAGACAGTGAGGAGATTTTTTTTTTTTTTTTGAGACAGACCCTCAAGCTGTTGTCGGGTAGAATGCTGTGGCATCACAGCTCACAGCAACCTCCAACTCCTGGGCTTAAGCGATACTCTTGCCTCTTGCCTCAGCCTCCCAAGTAGCTGGGACTACAGGTGCCCGCCACAACACCCAGCTATTTTTTGGTTGTGGTTGTCATTGTTGTTTGGCAGGCCTGGGCTGAATTCAAACCTGTCAGCTCTGGTGTATGTGGCTGGCACCTTAGCCGCTTGAGTTACAGGCACCGAGCCTAGTGAGATTTTTAAAAGAGATTTTTAAAATTAAAAATTTGTTAGAATGAAACCATTTTCCTTTTAGCAGTATTACTGAACCCCCAGGCAATTAATTATGAACACAGTCATTTTACTTCAACTTGGCATGAGTTTACATAAGATCATGCTTTTTTGCTTATTTCTAGGCAACTTCCTTGTCCACTTCAGCCCATAACAGAATTCCCACATAAAATTTCTTTAGTCATAGTAGAAATAGCAGTTTTCAAAGCTATATTCCATGGCCATATCTAACTTCTGGTTTTAAAATGCCGGAAGTTGCTGGCATTGCTCTTGAACCCCAACTACTAAGGTATCACTTTCAACACTTCACAAATGTGTGTGTCATCCTTGCACAACGGCCATACTAATCTTCTTTGTATCATTCCAATTTTAGTATATGTGCTGCCAAAGTGAGCACTAAGGTACCACTTTGAAATCTTCCTGAGAAAAATGTTCAAACTAGCCATTTCCTTCCCTGACATACAACATGGCCTATATGCTTACATCATACTCCATCTTTTCTAGTCTTCTTTACAACTTTTTCTAAAAATACCTCTTCATATTACCTAGAAGCACAGAGCTACATATGTTTAGTTGTTCTTATCACCACCTTCATTGAAATATTATGATCAATATATTAAAACAAAGATCTAAAACCCAGTTATATTTTAATTATCCTAGCTTTAGATAGGCTGGAATTAATTATAACCCATACACAAATCATGTATGATTTGGGAGAATAAGGTTATTTTAGCTTAAGAAGAGAGGTAGTATTAGAAAGGATGGAGTTTTGTCACCTGCTCCCAAATTTAGGCTTCTTTTGCTAAAATTACATGAAAGCATGTGTCAAAAGAACTGAGAGCATAACTGTCCTGAAACTTGACAGCAGGACTACACTTTGTTATTCTGGGGAGCTCACATCTGGAATTACCACTGGAAAAATATCTTTGTGCTGTCTCCCTTCTTCCTCACAGACATCTGCTTTGGAGGAGAAATTTAGATGGAGTGACGTTTCTAAGCAAGTGGGGGAAGGCCTAAAATACTTCAAAGTGCAGGCCATATTCCTTTCTCCTGATATTATAAATTTTATAGGATTTAAACTTTTTCCTCTCTGAAGGCTGGTGCCAGTTTTTCCTCTTATAGAAAAGCTGCAGCTCTTTAAAGGGATGTAGAAATTCACTTTGATTGGAAAATATCTGAGGAGAGAACAGCTGGCCTTTCAGATAGGAAAAGCACATGTCAAATATTCCTGTGCCTCATACAAAGTAACACAGCTATTGATAATTTCCTCTTTCCTCCTATAGCCAAATCAAACAGGCATTAAAGAACAAACACAGTCCCCAAAAAGAAGGCCCAATCGAAAGCTTGGGTTTTTCTTGTTTTCAATGTCATTTCAGCTTGTTTTTTTCCCCTGGACTTGCTGAAATCTGAGTACTTTGGGGTTAAGTGTAGTAGATAGAATAGCAGGGGTGTCCAACTTTTTTTTTTTTTCCTGCCACACATTGGAAGAATAAGAGTTGTCTTGGGTCAGACATTCAATACACAAACACTGAAGAAAGCTGATTAGCAAAAAAAAAAAAAAAGATTTTTGCATACTTTTCATGATATCTGCTACCACAGATAAGAAAAAAAGTCCTCACAAAATCAGCATGCAGCCCCCAGATGCAGGTTGCACACCCGAGGAGTATAAGATAACCTGAACCTTGTGCTATTAAACCCTTTTTGAAATGTGCTGGGGTTAACTAGTTGCTCTTTGCTATTATGCCAAGAAAACTATCCCTGAAAGTGTATATTAATTTGAAAGGTATATTCATCATATTTTAGTAACAGCTTACATTTTCCTACACTCTGATCCTTAAACGTTCCAAATTAAGAAATCATACTATTGCCACCCAGCCAGGTTCATCTGCCCACTGACCAAAGGGAAGTCAACATCCAGAGAAAGGAGGGTTTACAGCAGAGAAAGAGTTTATTCTGCATAACACTAAGTGGGGAGATGGGAAGAATTTCTTAAATCCACCTCTCTAAGAATTGAGGAGACAAGGTTTTTTTTTTTTGAGACAGAGCCTCAAGCTGTCCCCCTGGGCAGAGTGCCGTGGCATTACAGCTCACAGCAACCTCCAACTCCTGGGCT